TCCCAGGGGCTCTGAGCTCTCCCTGCATCCTTCTCCTCTCCAGGGGAACATTCCCAGGGGCTCTGAGCTCTCCCTGGATCCTTCTCCTCTCCAGGTGAACATTCCCAAACCTGTCTTTCCTCACAGGAGAGGTGCTCCATCTCTCTAACAACAAACAAACAAACAATCAAACAAATAAAAAAATCCCCTAATAATACATAATAATTGTATCATTCCCCCTCAGTTCCTCAAGCCAGGAATGTGCTGGAATGTTGGACCACGTAACCTTCAGGCAGAACTTTGACCCATTCTTCCTTTGAACTGCTTTGCTTTCCAAAACCCAAATTACCTGCTGCGAATGGAGGCTTTCCCCCAAACCAAATTTCTCAAGTTTCTGACTTCTTTTGGCAGATATTATTTCACCAACTGGCACGGGACCAGCGAGAGCGAGCCCTCGGTGTGGCGACACTCGCCCAGGAGGGCCAAGGCCTATGACAAGAAGCTGGCCCCAGAGGGGACCCCCATCCTGGATTCGGATTCCCTGGAGTACATCTTTGCACAGGTTGGAGCTGCCTCTGCTGCTGCATTCCATAAAAACCGCTTTAAAAACCTCTTTTTAAGCTCCTAAAATACGCATTTTGTGTCCTGTTAGACCCCTGAGGAAGGGGTTTTCTTTTTGCTGCTGCCTGGTGGGGAGGAGAGAATTCGCCGCTTGAAGGAGGCGTAAAGAAACTCTCCCAAAAAGGGTTTTATTTTTTGTAAATGTTTTCTTCTGAAGTGAATTATTTGTGTTTATAAACGCTGTCAGTCACCTTTTGTGGGACATTTGCACAGAGGTGGGGCTGGAGAGGAGCAGCAGCAGAGGGAAATCTGGCAGGGCTGGGTCCTTTTAATGAGGTTTTTTTACTGGGTGGTGTTAAAGATTGATAAACATTTACTGATAACCCCATGGCGACAGAGATTGATAATCTCACTGCAGTTTTGCTCTCCTCTTGTGCCTTCCTAAGGATTTTTCAAACCAGGAAGCTGTCAGGTTTCACCAAAAAAATGGGAAAATTCAAGTTGATGAAAGAGCAAATGGAATGCACTGAGGAAATCTCATTTACTGTTGATTCTGAGTAGAATTCCTGCAGGATTTTCACACTGGGAACCACAAGGAAAGATAATTCCAGGGAAATATTAAAGCAGAGAGGCACAGAAATGTCTTTGCTCTTTGATAACCAAACACTTCCCAGGCTATCCCAGAGCAAGACTTGGCTTAAAGAGGAATCCTTGAGAGGCTTTGGGTGGGAAGGACAGGGATAAAGCAGAGATACAAAAAGTTGGTTTTGTGGAGCAGAAAATAAATATTGAAGGTACTAAAAGGAGCCAGGGATGGTGATTCCTGTAGTTAATTTTTAAAAAGTGAATTTTTGGTGGGCTGATATATAAAAGAATGGAAGGAGGTTGCAGCTTCTCCTTGCCCAGGGATCCTGGGATGAATTCCTGGCTCAGGCACAAACTCTGGGAAAGACCAACTGGGTAATTTGGGTTTTTATTCTGTTTAGGGCCAGTATGACCTGGTGAAGGGCCTGGCACCCATCCGAGATCCCAAAAACGACCAGGAGGTCCATGAGATTGAGAATGAGTGTCTGGGCATGGCTGTCCTGGCCATCTCCCACGATGCCATCAAGAAAAACATGAAGCTGCCAGAGCTTCCCAAGGACATCAGGTGAGCTGGGATCCATCCTTTGTCCCTGCTGGCTCTGCTACTCTCCCAGGAGGAATTTAATTTAATTTAATTTAATTTAATTTAATTTAATTTAATTTAATTTAATTTTAGTTATTAATTCTAAAAAATTAATTTTATAAAATAAGTTTAATCATTTTATTAATTAAATTAAATTAAATTAAATTAAATTAATTTTATTTATTTAAGTATTGTAAATTAAATTACTTTAAATTAATTAATTTTTATTTAATTTAATATATTTAATTAATTTTAATTAATTTTAATTTAATTTCAGCAAGTTTAATTAATTAAATTAATTAATTTAAAGATATTAATTTATATACTTACTAATTTATATAATAATTATAATAATTTTTTACATTAATTTAAATTAATTAAATTTAATTTCATTAATTTTATTTATTCAATCAAATTTAAATTAAATTAACTTTAATTAAATGAATTAATTTTATTTTTATGTAATTTATTTAATTAGTTAAAATTAATTTTTAATTAATTTAAATTAATTTTAATTTAATTTAATTTAACTTAATTTAATTTAATTTAACTTAATTTAATTTAATTTAATTTAATTTAATTTAATGTAACCCCTTGCTTTTCCTTGCAGTTACAAGCATTATATCCCTGAGACCCTGAACAGGACCATCAGGCAGAGGAATTTCTTGACCAGGATTCGGATCAATAACGTTTTCAAGCATTTCCTGAAGGAGTTCAACAACAAAACCATCTGCAACAACAGCGTCTCCCCGCGGGACCTGAAGGTGAAATACTTATCCACCATGGAGATCCTGACCAAATATTTCGGGGCGGAGATCTTCGAGCCCTCGTTCCTGCTGATCTCTGCCGAGAACGAGCTGAACAAATTCAGCTGTGGGGACAACGAGAGGTACGAGGTGATGGTGAGCGGCAACAACGGCATCCAGTGGAGGCTCAAGCCCAGCGTGAGTACCCTGAGACAGGGGGAATAAAGGGATTTTTTGGGACATCACAGCTGCTGAAAGGTGGCTGTGGTCTTTGCAGAGCAGCTTTTTATTGGAGGGTTTTCTAGGGTTGCAGGATTATCCAGGTGTTGGAACTCCAAATGTCCCTCAGACATTTTTGGATGTTCCAGGCCTTGGTCAGAAGCATTTGAGACCCCGGCAGGCAGCTGGACACAGCTGTGATTTTGGGTTTGAGCCATGGAATGAGTTACCAACTTTGGAGGTGGAACAAGCAGTCACAAAGGGTTAGATAGTATAGTAAAAGTAGTTACAAAACAGAGGGGATTTTTTTTTAGTATTGTACAGGGGGGTTTTAGCACCTGTACAGGGGGGTTTTTACTTTGTACATGGGGGTCAGTGTTCTAAGATGGAGGAAAGTGGGCTGATCCTGTTCTTCCTCCTTCTTCTTCCTCACCTCCATGTTCTTGGTGATGTTGGCACTCACAGATTGGTTTAGAGTAGAAAAGCACCTTGTAACATAGGTAGTGGGTATTGGGGAAAAACTGTAAACATGTAATACTTAATATATCATATAAAAGATAGCAGCAGCCCTGGGTGGGGAGAGAGAAGAAGAAGACACAGATAGAGAGGATGTCAGGGTGTGTGTGTGCCTCTGCCTGAGCTGTGAGCAAACCACAGCAGCTCAAGGAGAAAATCTTTTAGATAACTCACAACAAACTGCCTTGGGACCAAACAACAAGAGCCTGCGCAGTTTTTCTTTGGAATCACGGGTTGGAGAAGGAATTCCACCACCACACGAGACCCCAGAGCAAGGCCGGGGTTCCCACATCCAGGCTGGAAGGAGCTCAGCGGGTTCCAGCCCAGCCCAAAGTTTTAGGCTTGGCTTGGAGACCAGACCAGGCTCAGGGCTTTAATCCAAGACTGCGCACTGGCCAACCTCTGTGGGCAGCCCTTTGACCAGGACAATGAAAGGCTCTGTGAAAAGCATTCCAGAATTACAGAGATTGAGTTCATGTATTAATACATTATATTCTGTAGTCTATATTATTACTCTATAATTTATAGTAATTTTAGAATTAATGTTATAATTATATTCTAATTAATAATTAATTAATATCATCATTCTAGATTTAATTTTATGTTTAGAGTAAATGTGTTAGTATACATTATATTCTATATTTTATATTACTATTCTGTATATTAATTTTATAATTTATATAATTGTTCTAGAATTCCAACTAATAATATTACTATTCTGGAACAAATTTTTGGTATAGAGTAAATGTATTAGAGTACATTATATTATATTTTAAATATTATTGTATTTATATTATTATTCTACAATTTATATTATTTTTATAATTTATAGAATAATTTTATTATATAATTCTAATTAATAAATAATTTATGTCATTATTCTAGAATTAATTTTTGGTTTAGAGTAAATATATTATAATACATTATATTCTATATTTTCTCTTATTCTATAATTCAATAATTTATATAATTATTCTAGTCTATAATTCTGACTAATAAATAGTTAACTTATATCATTATTCTAGAATAATTTTTTGGCTTAGAGTAAATGTATTACAATACATTGTATTCTATATTTTCTATTATTCTGTAATTGATATGAATTCAATAATTTATATAATTGTTCTAGTCTATAATTCTAACTAATAAATAATTAACTTATAGCATTATTCTAGAATGAATTTTTGGTATAGAATAAATGTATTGCAATACATTATATTCTATATTTTCTATTATTCTGTAATTTATATTAATTCAATTATTTATATCATTATTCTAGTCCATAATTCTAACTAATAATTAATTTATAGCATTATTCTAGAATGAATTTTTGGTATAGAGTAAATGTATTGCAATACATTATATTTTATATTTTCTATTATTCT